CAGGCATGTGCCACCATGCCCGGCTAATTTTTTCTATATATATTTTTAGTTATCCGGCTAATTTCTTCCCATTTTTAGTGGAGACGGGGTCTTGCTCTTGTTCAGGCTGATCTCAAACTCCTGACCTTGAGCGATCCTCCCGCCTCGGCCTCCCAGAGTGCTAGGAGTACAGGCGTAAGCCACCAGGCCCGGCCCACTGATTCTCAATTCTTGTCAGACATTAGAATAACTGGGGCCTGACACCTGGGCTTTACCCCAGACAACCTAAATCAGAATTTCTAGGGTGGGGCTTAGACATCTTTTTTCTTTCTTTTAAGCATTCCCCAGTGATTCCTTTTCAACACTAGATTTAAAGATTTTAGATACTCATGTTTCCTTCATCTTTGTTTTTCTGTCAGTTTCTTCTTAAACATCCACCAACCAAAAAATTATTTAGATTTCCCGTAATCCAACAAATATAGTTCCCACATGATAGCTAACTTTAGGTATAGATAGCTTGCTTTCTAGTTTTTGGAATACTGGTTTGAACTACTCAATTTTATGTTACCAGATCACAGGATATATCTTTTATTCATTCCCTAAAATTCACAACTTTACCAACAAGAATACAGAGGTGGTCAGTTACATGATTTGCTCAAGAATACAAAATAATAGAAAATAACACATGTGCTAACTTTGGACTTCTACACCCCTCTTCATAGCCAAGAGGATTATAAACACAAACATGTCCCCACCACTACCGAGAAAAAGCTACTTACATAATTATGAAGTAGTTATCCGCTCAAAAAGTTTTAAAACAGATATCAGCTATAGGATTGAAATTGTTATAAAAATGATTAATAACTGTAGCTGTGTTGACCGACAGGGAAAAAAATGGTTAATAGTGGGACATAAGAACATTTTCTAGAGGAACAGTTAAAACACATTTACTCCAAATGTTCTGCCAACGAAGTGCTAGGTTGCTGTGAAACTTCAAAAACTGTGCTACTTGCTACTATACCTTGATCGCCTCAATGGCATATTCCACTTGAAATAATCTTCCTTCAGGAGAAAAAGTATTCACGCCCCTATAATTTAAAAAAACATTATTAAAAATTTTTAGAAAAACTAATCATATAGACACTGAACTAAAGTTCCTTGACAACTAGGTCAGATGGCTACAGGATATATATGTTGTCAGTATTCTCTACTTCACCCACAACATTCTGTAATGTTTTTTTTTGTACATTAACCATTTCTCAAGGGAATGAAACTTTATGTGTAGAACACTTCTGTCCTACTCCCAGAGTCTTCCCAAACTCCTCAAATGACAGCAGGTGACTTTTCTGCTTCAATCCTGAATCAACTTGGATTAATCCTGAGTCAACTTAACAAGTCCTTTAGTAAGTTCATGCCATCAAAATACCAAGCAATTCCCAAGAAAAGGTTCGTTTTTCCTTATCCTCTTCCTATTATGTACATTTGATGATAATATCTGAATTTTCAGTGAAAGTTAGTGACAGGGATATTTCTCTAGTTATTTGTATGATTTAGTATCATTATCTTAATAATAGATTGAGAGTTCCTAAAGCCTGACCTAGTTCATTCACTCAATAGATATTTATATCAATTACAAGCCAGACCTCTTTTCTACCTAAAACATTTCCCCATCTTTCCTTGCTCCAGTGTGTTGGAATCCCTACAGAGAAGTGGCACCAATTGTGGTCTTAGCTATAAAAGCTTTGAGGGCATACAATGGACACTTTAAAATATCTGAACAAATGAATGAAAATAGTTACAATCCTTGGTTTATGGAGTCTGTAGAAAAAACTTTTTTTCACAAGAAATTTTATATATAACTCCAAAATATAAACAATAATAATAAAAGCTGACATTTATTGAGCATTTACTATATGCCTGGACTTTAAATGATTTAACTCGATCCTCAAAATGATCCTAAGAAGTAGTATTCTAGAGCAAATACTATTTTGCAGATGAAGAAGCTGAGACACAGAGAGGTTAAGCGAGAGGCATATAAGTGACAGAGCTAGAATTAGAATTTAGACAATGTGACTATAGAGACCAAGCTCTCAACTGTTCCACTATATCACCTCTGGGAATTATCTTGGCTAAATCAGAGATGTAGGGAAAATCCTACCATCCCAGCGCCCAGATTTGCTCCTGAGGGAATATCCCTAAGGCCATTTAAAAGGAAGTTTAGGGCTCTAAAGAACAGTTTAAAAATCACTGAAACCAAAGTTTAAAGTCAGAAGACCTGGGATTGAGTTCTAGCCCTGCCACTTATAGCTTTAATTCCCTCAACTGAAAAAATGTAATACTTGTCCTGCCTCTGTCACAAGACAATTGAGTATTGAATTACAGAGAGTATGAAAGAACTGGCCAGGCATGGAGGTTCACACCTGTAATCCCAGTACTTTGGGAAACTGAGGCGGGAAGATCGCTGAGGCCAAGAATTCACGACCAGCCTGGGCAACAAAGTGAGAAGCCCCATCTCTATTATTAAAAAAAAGAAAAAACTTTGTAAACTGTAAAGCACTATGTGATTACAGTATTTTTTCACCCTAGTTTAGAAACTTCATCCAATGAGGTATTACTGTGTCCTCCCCAACACGGGCTTTATGTGCTTCTCAAACTTTACCGTCTCCCTGGGTTATTTCATCTTATGGCAAGCATGAACTACTTCCAAATCTCCGTTACCAGTATGAACTCTTTCCTAATTAATCTAAATGCCTGCTGAACATTTCCACTGGCATATCCCATTAGCACCAAAACTCAACACGTTCCAATCTGAAATATTATCTCTTTAAATCCAGCCACCCTGCAAAATCAGCTTCATCTGCCATTCCTACTTCAGTTTTATTTTAAAACACCTGCAATCTTCCAGTTACCCAAGCTAGAAAGTTATGAGAAAGTAACTCATTCCTCATCTTCTCCCATATCCAACCATATGCCAAGGCATATCAGTTAATATCAACTCCTCCTCTACTACAGTAGATTTGTTACAACATATCACTCTTCCTTCCATTCTCAATGCCCTCATTATCTTTCACCTAACTATTGCAATAGCCTCCTAACCAGTATTAACTAGCTCTTTCTTCTAATCCAGGCAAGTAATCTCTATAAAACACAATGATCATTACATAACTTCTTAAAATGAAAATTAAAGGCATGCAACTACCTACAGAATAAAACCCAAACTCCTTTACTTTGTATTAAAAACCATCCAATATCTAGCCCCATCCTGTTTCTCCCATATCTCCTCTATTCCCGTACACACACCATATGTGCCAGACTGGACTTTTCCCAAACATGCATTGTGCTTTCCCACTGTCCCAACTTTGGTCATCGTATATTCTCTGACTCAAAACTACTGATTGTCACTATCTTTATTAAAATCCTACTCTTTCTCAAGATTCAGTTTAAATCTCAGGTCCTCTGTGAAGTTTTCCATGATCCTCTAACTCTGAATGCAGTCTCTCATCAAAACTTCCTTAGCATTGATTTGAATTGCTCTAATGGCATTAATACTTTTCTGATTCGTACCACAGCTACTTCTGTAAACAGTTCTTTAAAAGACAGTCTCTTATATGAAAGCAAGGATCTTGATTTTGTCCAACGCTGCATGACAATCACCTAGAATACTGCCTTGTACTCAGCAAGCACTCCAGTACATTAGCTAAGTGAGTAAGAAAGAGCTGTGGGAGGCGGAGGCAGGAGGATCACTTGAGCCCAGGAGTTTGAGACCAGCCTGGGCAACACAGCAAGATCCTGTCTCTACAAAAAGATTTGTTTAAAAAAATTAGCTGGGCATTGTGGGACATGCCTGTAGTCCCAGCTACTTGGGAGGCTGAGGCAGGAGGATCACTTGAGCCCAAGAGTTTGGGGCTGCAGTGAGCTATGATGATGCCACAGTGAGCTATAATGATGCCACTGTACTCTAGCCTGGGCAAAAGAGAGAGACCCTATTTCAAAAGAAAAGAAAAAAAAGAAAGGGTTATATTTGAGGCATTGGGAAAATACAAAAATGAGTAACAAAGCAATCAATACATACACTAAGTAAATGATCACGAAATTTAATAAAGCCTTTCTGATAAGGATAATAATTTCCATCATACACACCCAATTCCGAATATCTCCCCAAGATGATTCTGTTCAATGCTTTGGAAGCTAAATATTGACTAACAAAGTCATGTTCTAGGATAGCAGAAAAAGAAGTCAGTTTTAAGACTTCACATACATCTTCTATGAGTCAGTAAAATGATGAAAAAGTGGTAATTCCAGATGATAAAACTTTGACAGGGTCAACAAATACTTGACAAGAAATGCAGCTCCTCAAGCCACCTAGTACAAAGAAAACGTCTGTCTTTCCTGGCTTTTTTAAAAGAAAAAAAAAAAACAAACAATAGCTATGTGAAAACTCAAATGATAAAAACAGAAACTGAAAGTAAAAATGTCCGCAGCATAAATATGCACAATTTAATAATGTTAGCATTTTCAAGCCCTAAAAGTTTAACTTGCTTTAAGCTTTTAAAAAAGTCAGAAAAACCTAGGTCAAGTGGAATCAGCATGAGGAGAAAGCGCTTGAAAACCATTATAAATTCCCGTTCCTATAAAGTCAGACTCCAGACAATATATCTGGGCATAGTTGAGAATGCCTTAGCGCTTTCGAAGAAACTATACATCACAGCAAGCCCTTCTATAAACTAAATAGTCTCCAGTTGCACTGTCTTCCAGGCACCACGTTTAACTTCTTTTAAAAGGCAGTCACACTAGGCACCAAAAGATGAACGGGGGAAAGGCTGACCTCTGGCCTTCTGCAGATTCAAGGTAGGAGTCCCAGCCCCTCAAGCCTTCCTCCCTGAGCACAAACTGGAGCTTCTCGCTTCCGCACCGCGTTAGGACCCAGCGGTGACTCAGCGGTAGGACAAGTGCGGCCGATGTGCCCAAGTCTAGTTTGGGGAATCACGGCGGACGCCTGGAGAGGGCAAGAGATCCCCAGGCCCGGCCAGACTTGGGTTCCTGGGGCGCCCCATGACACGGCAGAACCCTGGCCGCGGCGCGGCCCCGGGCCTGCCCACCCATAATCCCGAACCGGCTTCCCCCAGCCGCACAGACCTGTCGTACTCAGACCGGGTGAGAAACATGGCGAGGGCAGGCGAAAGCGGCAGCGGCTACGCGGGGATTCTGAGTACCAACACGACTCCACCAGCACCCAACGCACCCACTCCACCACAGAACCAAGGGCCCTGCTCCCAACTGCGCGTGCGCCCCCGAACTCTTTAGCCCGCCCCCCCGTGCCTGCCTCCTATTGGCTGATTGTAGTTCCCGCCGAGGTAATTGGACCAACGCTCTTCCTCTCCGTGACTCGGTTGGTCCGAGGAGGAGGCGGGACAAAGAGGGGGCCATCCTTCCGTTTTAAATTGCAAGTGGTTACTAAGGGTGATGGGAACTCAGGGCGTGAGAGCAGGAGGTGAGAGTTCATCTTTTAGTGTAGGTGTGAGCCCGCTCCAAGATTGGCAGCTGGGAGAGCTTGCACAGAGAGTTGAGCTGTCTGAACCGTGATTTGATAAATCGTCGGCTCCGGTAATCCCAGCCAGAGCACGTTGGTCCCATCTCCTCCACGCTCTCCACCTGCCGGCACTTAGCGGAATTCCCCTTCTTCGGACTCTGGCGCGGTTTTCTTCCCCATGCCCTATCGAGGGCTCGGAACTTGGGCAGTGATGGGTGCGCTACAGTAGGTCTGAGCCGACGCCGTGGGCGAGTCCATTCTCTTCAGCCAACCTGGCTCGTTTGTTGAGAAAAGTTTGTGGGTTTTGGTATGTAGAAGTCTTCAAGTTTCTGCATGGTTAAGGTAATTTTACCAACTCTTTCTTGGAGCCCTCCCTCCAGGACAGGTCCATCAGACCTGATGACCTAGAGCTTAGGATCCCAGATTTACATTGTTCACGGCTTTTTCTCTTACTTGTGAAGAATAAGCGCCTGCTTCCCTGTGTATGATTTTTTACTTCAATCATTTTATAAGAATATTTTTAAAAAACAAAGGTTTTTAACTCAAGGATACTGGAAGGTTTAACTAGCTTCAATTCTTGCAAACCTGTGAAGAAATAGTAATTGACCAGTTCTGGCCAAATGACTGAGCATGGCAAAAGTACTAATGCAAGCCCATCGCTGCATAATTTGGGACTCCTCTAATGGGCAAGTTTGGCTTGAGGACTACACATCAGCCTAGCTGAAACTTTCTTAGAACTGTGAGGCAGTCTAGGAAACTGCCTGCCCAATCCTTTCTTTTCCCTGGCCTTCATAGGTATCAGACTTGTATCATGGTTTGCAGGCTCTCCCACCTTCTCCCTTCCCTTTTATCCTTCACAGATGTTTCTTCTAATAAATCTCTTGTACGTTGTTATGGGCTGAATTGTGTCCTCCCCAAAATTCAGATACTGAAGTCTCAACCCCTAATACCTCAGAATGTGACTAAAGAAGTGCTTCAATTCAAACGAGGCCATTAGGGTGGGCGCTAATCCAATCTGGTGTCGTTATAAGAAGAGGAAATTTGAACACACAGAGACACCAGGGGCAGGTGCACACAGAAAAAACGCCCTGTGAGCCATTGAGAAAATGGCTATCTGCAAACCAAGAAGAGAGGCCTCAGAAGAAACCAAACTTGTCAACACCTTAATCTTGGACTTCTAGCCTCCAGAATTAAATTTCTCAAATAAATTCACAGAAATAAATATCTGTTGCTTAAACCACCTAGTCTGTGGTATTTTGTCATGGCAGCTAATATATATTATCAAATCCCACCTTGGCATTTGCTTCTCAAAGAACCTAAACTAACAAAAGTGGTGCTAGGAGAGATCCAAGGAAACATAAGATGGGGTTTCAGGACCAACTCATTACCTGGTGGGCAAAGAGGATGCCATCCTGAGTGTAGGAGCATGGGTAGTTCCTAGCATAAGGTGGCGACCCAATTGCTAAAGATTTCATCAGTGGTGACCTGGGAGAATATCCCAATGGAGGGTACAATTTCAGGCGTATGAAATATGCGGGGTAACAGTGCCTACGAGAACACTGGAGTTGTCTGGTGACTACTAAGTTGTATTGATAATCTAAAAAGGAAAAATGAGAGAGCAAGGGTCACTCTTGATTAATGGCGAAATGAAAAGACACAAGGCCTCTTTAGTAGCTTACAAAGAGGCTTTTATATCCTGCAATGGAAGAGCTGACACAGTTGAGCCACAAACTCAGGACATGATAGAGTCACAGAGCTACAGAGACATTTAAATGTGCAACCAAAGCAGGCTGGGGCTCTGGTTGGGAAAGCCTGAGACTGAGACAAGGGATGAGACATTTGGATGGACATCCTTAAGGGTGTTTGCTCTGCAGACCCCTGTGTACTTTCAAAACTGCAGAGGTGGTCTGTCTTTCTGTACTTAGAGCAGTACTTCCCCTATACTGGAAGATGCTGCAGAGCCACTCCCCCACAAACAAACAGGAGTTGCCCCTACCTCCTCTCCTGGCTGCCAGGCTGATAGCTAGAGTTATATACTAGCATGACCCAGCTGGAAACATGCTGGGCCTGATAAAGGAGGAGAGCGTGTGTGAGTATTATTTAGCATATGCAGACAGAAGCGCAGGGAGTACTCTGGGATCGAATTTTGAGGTTGCTTGATCAAAGGGGCTGGAATATAAAACTGGATAGTCAAGAATAATTGACTTGGGGGCACTTCTTGAGACACAGGATTTAACACCCTAGTAAAGACTCTGAGGAATGAAACAAACTCACTGCTGGGAGACTCTCAGAAACCTGGAGGGAGTGATGGCCAATGCTGAGCAAAACAGAAGTGTCTGAGTTGCCCTGATATATGGTAGAGGAATGAATAAAAAGACTGGTGGAAGTGGGTGTGCTGGAATGAATATATTATGTGATGCCAGAAGACCCATCAGAGGATTATGTTTCAGAGGGCTCAGAAGACACATCATTTACCAAGGCCATCAAAAATGCCCTGGTAAGGGCCGGGCATGGTGACTCATGCCTGTAATCCCAGAACTTTGGGAGGCCAAGGCGGGAGGATTGCTTGAACCCAGGAGTTCAAGACCAGCCTGCGCAACATTAGTGAGACCTCATCACTAAAAAAAAAATTAGACGGGCATGGTGGTACATGCCTTAGTTACTTAGGAGATTGAGGTGGGAGGATCACTTGAGCCCAGGAGTTCGAGGATGCAGTGAGCTATGATCATGTCACTGTACTCCATCCTGGGCAACAGAGTGAGACTCTGACAGACAAACAAACAAACAAATAAAGTAAGTAAGTAAGTTCTGGTAAGAAGGGCAACACTCACAACAGCATCACTAAGGAAGTCTCTGCAGTCCTGGGCTGCAACTGGAGAAGCAGTCACAGAGCTGGTGCTCATTAATAACTATGGGAATGATATCACGGCATCCCACCCCCCAAGTAATAGAGGCTAGATGGTGGCACTTAGTTATCAGAATCCAAAAAGCCCAATTACCATAAAGAGCAGCAAGATCTAGCAAGAGAAGCAAAGTAGAAATGTCTGAATTGTCCTGGCATATGGTAGAGGCCATCCCCCACTTTAGCCAAATATTTCAGTAGTCTCTCTCATAGTGGAGGTAGCAGAGGGATAAAAAGATGCAGTTTGTAGCTTGTGATGGTTAGTTGTGTATCAACTTGATTGCACAGGTACCCAGATATTTGATCAAATGCTATTCTGGCTGTGTCTGTGAGGGTGTTTCTGGATAAGATTAACATTTGAATTGGTAGGCCAGTGAAGCAGATTGCCCTCCATAATGTGGGTGAGCCTCACCCAATCGATTGAAGAACAAAAAGGCTGGTCAAGAGGGAACTCTTCCTACCTGACTACTTGAGCTGGGACATTGGTACCTTCTGGCCTTCGGACTTGAACTGAAACATCAGCTCTTCTTGGGTCTCAAGCCTGTCAGCTTTCAGACTTGAATTTACACAGTCTCTCCTAGTTCTCAGACCTTCATACTTGAACTGGAACTATGCATTGGCTTTCCTGGATCTCTAGCTTGCTAACTGCAGATCTTGGGACTTGTCAACCTTCATAATCACGTGAACAAATTTCTTATACTCTCTCTCTCTCTCTCTCAGTCTCCACATGCTATAGTTTGGATGTTTGTCCCCTCCAAATCTCATGTTGAAATTTGATCTCCTACATTGGAGGTGGGGCCCAATGGGAGGTGTTCAGGTCATGGGGTGAATCTCTCATGAATAGATTAATGCACTCCTTAGGGGTGGTGGGCGACCGAGTTCTTGCTCTGTTAGTTTCTGCAAAAGTTCCCTCAAGAGCTAGTTGTTAAAAAGAACCTGGCACCTCCCCTTTCCTTCTTGCCTTGCCTCTTGACATGTGATCTGTTCACACACCAGCTCCCCTTCCCTTTCCATAATGAGTGGAAGCAGCCTGAGACCCTCACCAGATGCAGTTGCTGACACCATGTTTCTTATACAGCCTGCAGAACCATGAGCCAAATATATATATAATATTAAACACACACAAACACACACACACACACACACACACGCACACACACACACACACATCCCCTATTGGTTCTGTTTCTCTGGAGAATCCTGACTAATACGGATTTTGGTACCAGGAGTTGAGTGCTGCTGTAACAAATACCTAAAACGGTAGAAGCAGTCTTGGAACTTGAACTTGGTAATAGGTAGAGGCTGGAAGAATTTTAAAGTGTATGATAGAAATATGGATGTTAAGGGAAATTCTGGTGAGGTCTGATGGAAATAAGGAACATATTATTGGAAACTGGAGGAAACGTGATCCTTATAAAGTGGCAAAGAACTTAGCTGAACTGTATTCTTGTGTTTTGTGGAAGGTAGATGAATTGAAGGAAGAATCACTAAGCAAAAAGGAACCAGAATTTAAAGATTTAGAAAATTCTCAGCCCATCCATATTGCAAAAAAATGAGAAAGCATGTTCTAAAGAGAACACCAAAGATGTGGCTAGACTATCACTCAATAAAGAGTTTATGGGATTATATGAGCAAAAGATTGCCAGTTTGAACTGAAGGAGTTGGAGATAGGATGAAATGAAGGAAAGCTCTTGGACTTCTTAGATTTGACAGGATGGGATGATAGAGCTATGCTGATGTGAATGTGTACTATTTTTCAAGAAGAGGAGAAAAATGACCCCTAAGGCAATTCAGAAATCATCAGGGCCACTGCCTTGGTTTCAACAGGCCAGATGGCCTTTGCCTGAAGCCCTGGGGGCAGG